GCTAAAACCAGCACAAGGAAGTTAAAAGAGTATAACCAGAACAAATTGTGTAAGGTGCTGCAAAGATTTAGAAACGTTTTGAAAGATTTTAAGCTTGTTGAAAATAGCACCATTCATTTTCAATGGCTAAAAAAAGTGGCTAAAAAGTATAAATAGCAGAAATACCAAAAGTCATAGCTGGGATGTCCTGAATGAGCTGAACGTTGATGTATTGTTGAATTAGCATAAAATTGTGAAATGATCTCAGTAGTATGAATGCCCTAACTAGTAAAACCCAGCAGAGCTGCAAACAAAGGGAGGACATCAAAGACCTCACTTTGATGGTAACTTTGGTGCAAATGGTCCTCACTCTGTAGTAGGAACAAGTACACACACACACTGGATCAGATCCTCAGGTTCAGAGGTGATCTGGACTTTCTCACAGGGTGTATCCTGGTTATAAGACCACCTGGTCCTCTGTTGAGATCCAGACCCTACCCCGGAGGTCTGAGCAGCTGTGCTTCCTGGAAGCTGATTGGCTCGTGTGTCAGTATCTCCTGTCTGGATATAAACTGTTCTGTGTTTCACCTCTGCTACAACTCCTGCACACTCTGACCTTCTGCAGCATTTAATCAATCACCACTAAAAATATTTAATCTTTAAATCCACCATGGTTCAAAGATGTCCTCCATAATACCTAAAAGCCTCTTCAGACCCACAAAGTCCAACTTGCTGTGGTTATTTCAGCTTTGACTGAGGTTTGAAGTGAAGTGAAGCTCTGAACCCGGCAGACAAAGGGTTAATGTCTTCATGTCTCCACAGGTGGATGTGCCTCGAGATGATGTCATCAGTGAGATCAGGAGGAGGACCTCTCAGGCCTGATCAGAGGACTTGCAGTCATTAGTGAAGTATGATGGACCTGATTCTGCTGGCAGCCATGTGGACTGGACCTGGACCGCCTCCCAGAGGAGCTGCTCCTGGTCCACAGCTTCTTTAAACTCATCAACCCCATACATCCATACGTTCTGTGGTGAACCGGTCCTTCATTGCAGCTCTCTGTAGTCTGGACGTTTCATGTGTCCAGGACCAAGCTTCACTTCCTTCACTTCTGTATGTTTCAAACAAAGATGCTAACCTGGAATAAACAATAAACATGCTTTGAAACCGTTACAAACTCAGCATGTCTTCAAGGAACGCTACCTTTAGCTGTAGTTGTACACAGGGAGAAGTCTCATTTAATGGGTTGTGCTCCATGTTTTATTTAGTTTTCTGAAAGCTCATGTCTCTGCGGGATGAGGTTGACCATCCAATCATGCTGACTTCAAAAATATCCCACAATGAGCTCAGACTGCTGCTGTGTCTCTTTATGTCGCCATTAAATTTACCAAATACTTTTAATATATATTAAAACCTGACTTTCCACAGTTTGGATCAAGTTCATAAAACAGTTCAAACCAGAAGTTTACATAATATATAAAAAAGACACTTTTTTCACACTCTCCAACATGAAATGTGAATAAACGTTTCTGGTTTTAGGTCTGTTACAGTTAACAAAATTTTTCTATTTGCTAAACTCCAGAATAATGAGAGAGAATTTTAAGGGCAGTTTTTATTTTCTTCATTTTAGTATTTATTGTACAACAGGTTGTCTTCAGGAACAGGCCTCCCTTGGAAAACAGATCTGCCATTTCAACGAGGCTTGCCTGGTTAAATAACGGTAAATAAAATAATATAAATTGTAGGGATGTAGCCCTGTGATGGACTTGCGACCTGTCCAGGGTGTACCCTGCCCCTCGCACTGTGACTGCTGGATATGGGCACCAGTGACCCACGCGACCCTGAAAAGGAAGAAGCGTGTACAGAAAATGGATGGATGGATGTAGGGACTTAACTACACTTCTTATAATAAAGTTATAAGGAAATTGTCAAGGGATCTCTTCCATCCATCCATCCATCCATCCATTTTCTTCCGCCTATCCGGGGTCGGGTCGCGGGGGCAGCAGCTTCAGAAGGGAGGCCCAGACCTCCCT